ACAATTTTATGATATTTTTTGATGCGATTAAAACTTTCTTTCAAAGAATACTACTAGCTTCGTCCCTGTGACCACGGGTTTTCTAGTCTTACTTATAATTCAGAGAATTCTTTTTGTAGAATGTATGTCTGTACGACCGCCCACGTGCAAATTTGATGAAAAATAGGAATTTAGGTAACAACCAAAACGTTCCATAGCAACGGTGTTTTAATGCACACATGCACGTGCAAAGATTGTTTTAACGTCATTTTGATCGGTTTTGTGGTAATTTTACGTTGTGTTTAAAGTGTTTTATATTTAAATCGGTTGTATTTTCGGTTGGGATGGATATTTTTTGATGCGATTAAAACTGTCTTTCAAAGAATACTACTAGCTTCGTCCCTGTTACCACGGGCTTTCTAGTATATATATAAAATATATTTTTATATCGATAAAATATATTTTTATCGGTATAAAAATTCATAACAAATTACCAAAAATACTGCCAGAATACAGTGAAATTTTAATGGTTTTGCTTGTCCCTGTTCCCAAGTAATCCAAAAAAACAGTCCCAAACGTATTCTAGTATGATAACTGATAACAGAGGCAGTTTACTTGGATGTGAGTTTAATTAAAGCTATTGACATTGTTCTCTTGAAGAGGGTGCTGGCATTTTACCTTACTGCTGTACCAAGTTTACTGCAGTAAACAGTGATACAAGTCGCCGATTAGTTCTAGTGAATTATGAAAATATTCTGGCTTTTACCCTCAGCAGAAAAATTATCGGTTTTATCTGTATTATCTAGATAAAACCTAAATCTTTATCTGTTTATCAATATAAAAGATTTTATACCGATAATTGATAGCCTACTTCATCGGTACACGAACTCGACAGTTCGACGCGCACTCTAGTTCGACACGTACTGTAGTTCGACAAACCCCTTTAAGCCTTTAGTTGGACTTTGTCGAACTAGAGTGCGCTACGGTTAACTGGACTCTATTTCGACACGTACTGGAGTTAGAGTTAGACAAGAGAACTACGACTTTGCGAAAAGGATATTCATAAAATTACAAAATTTATCTTTATTAAAGATACATTTTGTAATTTAGATTAGCTTTCAATCCAGTTTTTAATAATACCACTATTAGGATTTCTACACACTATGTCGAATTGTTACAATATGTCGAATTGTTCCAATATGTCGAATTGTTCCAATATTCTACGGTACAAAGCCATATCTAATGATTATAAATACATATATCACTTATCTAATGATTAGATAGCATTAAGAGTTTGTTTCGTTGTGTTAATTTCACCAGCTCCAGTATAATTTATAGTTTCAAATCCTTCATATTATGGAGCCAGGATGAGGACTGGATACTCAATAAATGTAATAAATAAGCATTGTTGTAATCAGTTTATATGTTACAAGGTTAGAATGTTAAGGGGTTACAATACACATTTCAGTAGCCCTATCAAGCTATGAGGCTGCAACAGTATCGTCCTTTTATTCAAAGTTATACTGCTTATGATTATGAAATTGTGCGTTTATCCACGTACAGTTACACATTTATTATGCAATACACTTTGAATAGACCATGGCAAACAATAACGAGATCATTACAGCTACAACGCTGGAGCAGATTGTTACAACGTTTGTTTCTTTTATACTTGTCATATTTGCTCCTAATGAATCTTAGTTGAGCACTTTGTTACACGAAAATTTTAAATTTTCATTCGAAGTTGAGGATATTGTTGTATATACTGGGCCGCTACGAGCTGGGAAGGATTGAAATCGTCAATCAAAGGATATTGGTACAAACAAAAATATCGTTTTCGACATTAGTGGACGAGCATGATCAGAACATGATCAGAACCTTAACCACGTGACTCATACCTCCACTACTCAGGAGAGAAAATGTATTGTTTTTAGGCACTATAATGTTAAAAATATCACATTTTTGGGACTTTATTAATTATTGCTGCCCAATAAGTATTCCTTGGTCTGAAGTTGTAGTAGATTAGGTCAATCTAAAAATTATAAAACATCATTGGTTAAATGGCACGGATTCAATGGTTATAAGGTAAGATTTGGTTAACTTTGTAACACTTACAATCATCCGGAGACCGGACACTGCGACAGAAAACGGTACGGTGGAATATTTTAGAAAGGTGGACAGTACGGTGGAATATTTTAGAAAGGTGGACAGTAAGATGGAATATTTTAGAAAGGTGGACAGTACGTGGTTTTCAGATTATCATTTTTGTAGATTAAATAGGACACGATTCACCCTGGTCGCTGATTCCTCTAGAGCCTTCCATAGAACATAACATTTTTATTCACTTACTTACTTAGATTTAGAGTACTAGTAGGTTTGACTGGGATCTAGTAGGTTTTAGCTGGGATGGCCTCGCTGCACTGGGCAACAGTATTGGCAGCGGTGTATCGTTTAGTAGGGGGCGTGTCGGGGAATTCTTTGAGCATGAGGAATTATTTTCCAGTGACTATTTTAATAAGCACAAGGTAGAGGTGGAATTAACTTATTTGGGAAAAAAATTCCACAGCTGTGCTGTTTTTACTCTAAATGAGTTAATAGTGTGTAGCCACAGAGCGTGGTAGATTTGCTGTTCACTTTGTTGTTAAACAGCTCCTGCCTTCTGTCCGAGGCCAGGGTAGTTGATTCGTTTAACACAGGGTAACGAACTCATATATTTTTACTGTAAACATTGGCCGCACCAAAGCACGAATTCCCACGTAGATCACTATAAATAGTTCGTCTCGCTATATATATATCGTCTTGCTTTGTATATTAATACAGTGTTTAATACTGTTTAAATAGTAAGATACCACTATTAGGATTTTTATGATTTATACAGTGTACACACTATGTTGAATAATTTCAATATTCTACCCAGAAAACCTTACCGGTTGCCGGGCTTGCTAGATGCGCTTTTTACTCGATCTAACAGCATGCTTGTCTCCGATGCTTGTGTGTGTAATTGTCTTTGACTTTGCTTTTCGTGACCGCAACAATCTGCAGGCCATGTCAGGTGTATACTGGATGATATTGGTAGCAGTTTTGTTCGCAACCCTCCTAGAACATATCGATTTTAAGCAACCCAATATAATATAGATGTCAAATCAAGCCATCTTCAACCTTTTGTGAGGTTCTGGAGGTGTTCATATTTAACTTTGTTTTAAAGTTCTAATATCGTTTAATTATTTTAACAAATTTCGTAACCCACTGATATAAATTACTCCTTGGTTCGTTGAATGGTTGGTTGATCATCACAAACTTCAGGCATGCCAGACGTACTCTTGGTGGTAGCACTTGTCTTCGTAACCCTCCTAGACCATGTCGATTGTAAACAACCCAATATAGTGATAATAGTAGCAGATGACCTGGGATACAACGATGTAGGATTCAGAGGATCTATTGCACTGACTCCAAATATTGATAGACTTGCTAACAAGAGTGTGATTCTGGAGAATCACATCGTAGCTGCTAGCTGCTCTCCTACTCGATCTGCTCTTATGACTGGTCGATATCCAATCCGAACAGGATTCTGGAAGGGAAATATCAAACCAATGGAGGAGTTTGGATTGGGATTGGACGAGACCTTGCTCCCTGAGATGCTGAAAACAAACGGATACTCAACACACGGCGTAGGAAAATGGCATCTTGGTATGCATACTTGGGAACACACACCCGCAAAGAGAGGTTTCGATACCTGGTTTGGTTTGTACAACTGTCAACAGGATTATTTCAAACATACATTTATAAACCAGACAGACTTTAGGGAAAACTATTACGATGAGAATAGTAATTTAGTTGACGACATCCGGAATGATCTAACGGGACAGTATAACACATATCTGTTCACTGACAAGTCAGTTGAGCTCATTCAAAACCATAACCAAAGCAACCCCTTCTTTCTTTATTTAGCATACACTGCACCTCATGTTCCCCACCAAGCTTCTAAGGAAGATGTAAACAGATTTGCCTCACACATTCCTAAAAGTACTCTTGAAAGAGAAGAGAGACAAATATATACGACTCAGATATCTGTAATGGATGAAGGGATAGGAAAAGTAATTGACACTCTACGTCTGAAAGGAATGATGGACAACACTGTTTTGTTATTCACTTCTGACAATGGAGCCTGTCATTTTGGAAGCAACTATCCTCTGAGAGGAGGTAAGAGATCTCATCTGGAAGGAGGCGTCAGAGCAGTATCCTTTGTTCACAGCCCACTCCTTGAAAATTCTGGTTACACCAACACCAACTTACACCATGTGACTGATTGGTATGCTACATTTCAGAAACTAGCGGGAGACAACCCAGAGAAGCACAGTAAACCACAGTTACCAATAGACGGAGTTGACATCTGGAGATCTATCAATAATAACGAATCTTGCCGCGATGAGATTCTTTATGAATTGAGGGATCCTTCTAAAAGGCTGGACCCGGCAGGCAGAAATGGACTTGACAATGCCAAAAAATATCCAATCAACCTCAAAACATTTGAAGCAAAATTCCGAAAAGCAGAACATGAATTTTCTTATGACGCGCAAGACTTTTTCGCTATTCGATGGAAGAATTGGAAGCTTCTTGTCGGCACAGGAATAATGCTCCAAGGTTGGACTTCAGAAAGTGGACAGAGAGACGAATACGAACGATTCTTAAGTTACGAACTAGAAATGCATCCTTGGTGCATAGTGTCTGGAACATTCCTTTTCGATCTGTCCACAGATGTTAGAGAGGAACACAATGTAGCTGATAAATATCCTGATATGGTGATGAAATTGCTGGATAAAAAACAAGGATATTTGGACAAGATGAAGACGGTTGAAGCACGACACTTTTCAGATAAAAGTAAGGTTGATGGAGTTTGGAAACCCTGGGTTGAACTAACTGTTGTTTAACAACTTTTTGATTGGATCCCATTTTGATCGCCTTTTTTTAAACATCGTTTTTGAAATTTCCTCAAAGTCCTGTGCAAAATAAAAATATCGTAAGACATTTTAAATATTTTGTTTAATAAGTCATTGGACGATAAAGATGTTGATTATATACTGATATAAAATTGTTCCAGAAAAATCCGAAATATCAAAGAAAAGTGTAATATCATTATCTATATTCATAATTTAATTAAAGTTATATAAACCCAGGAAGGTCGCTTAAAAGCATATAAGGTAATATACACAGTACAACCATTACCTTTAAAACGTAACTTAGCCCTTCAGATTCGCATCTCGTTATTTAACAACAATTTTGCAGCACTTAAGACCCCAAAACCTGGTGTTCTTCCAGATAGAAGCTGCTCCGTACCCCTCTCTACACTGGACTGTGAGGGTAGCACTGCTCGTCCCGAAACAGTGTCCCAACTTTAGACCACAGCTCGCTGGTTTACAATACTGTCCTGCATTTAATCCTGGCAAACCTTTGGATCCGTCCCTTCCCCATGCGCCTTTCAGTCCTGGTGCTCCAGGAAGTCCAGACTCTCCATCACTACCAGGCAATCCCATCTCTCCATTTTCTCCTGTTTCTCCTTCATTCCCAGTTGCTCCCTTCTCCCCGTCAAAACCACCGAAACCAGGTTCACCAGGTTCTCCTTCAGACGAGCAGATATCAAATGAACAGAAGTCATTGGTTCCTTGAGCCCCTTGATCTCCTTGTTCTCCTACCATTCCATTTTCTCCTGTCACTCCTGGCTTTCCTTGTGGTCCCTCTTCTCCTGAAATTAATAGAAATAAATACTTTAATAAGCATTGTTCCCAAATTTAGGGAGCATTTTATTTTTACTAAGTTTACTTTTTTGTGAAAAATGTTTATTAACAAGTTACCTTCCTTCTGCTTCTGTAGGCTTGTGAATGTGAGTACTTTATAAATTTCTAGTTATGACTGCATTTAAACACATTTATTTGTGAAACACAGTTTGATAAATCTATTTTGGCCCTCCTTTGGGTTGGCAACGAATAAGGCTTGCTAGCTCCTCGTCATTTATGAATTCCATGTTAGCTAACGAGGGAATATTTGTATTCACCGCGTTATAAGATGATCTTATTCAGTATTTTCACTGGCTGCTTTTCCGAGACTTTTCGGAAATTAAACCACTTTGGTGTAATCATCAGGGTGAATAATTGTTTTTTGGATATCTCAACAAAATGACGATTCAAATGAACTCCTGTTTTAAAAATTAGTTGCGAAGTCAAAGATAATTGTCCGATAAGCTATTCATAATTGCTATTCGATTGCAGCTACATGGGGCGTCTAAAGTCTTTATATTAATGAAAGTGCAGCAGATTGTGGTGCATCTGAAGACGTTAAGTGAAATGAGACGATTTTGTTGGATGTTGCATCATTACGTTAAATATCTATCGTCCAAATCTCAATATAATACCAAACAGCCGTTTGATATTGACAGACTCAGAATTTGGCCTTTAGTGTAACGTGGCTCATCAAGACGACACAATTCTTGGCAAATATTTAATTTGCGAATTTCTGCGATCATTTTTCTTCGGCTTTCTCTTATTCCTATTTCCTTACCATTATTAGGTGACTCAACGTAACTTATATCCAAGTTAAAGCTCGCACAGTTTGCTTTTTGCCGGAGGAGAATGTTACTATAATTAGACAACCTGAGAGGATCTACTGGAACAGTCTCCTTGAATTTTAATCCGTTTATCGACGCCTTGAAATAGTCTTCGCCAACCGTCACTTCTATATCGTTGGCTCCCTTCCGAAGGTTCATAGTCTCATGTGCAGATTTTTCCGCGAGCCATTGTCCATCCAACATGACACTTTGGGTTAAAGATTTTTGGTGATTCTTGTATTTGATCCTAAAATCCAAATGGTACATCGATTCTTTGTCCCATATGTTGAGAGTCAGCCCGCAACCTTCGATATATTGTCCAGAGAAGTCAAGTCGCAGATAAATTAAGGTGGATATTTTTACTGGAACAGAGGTCAGCCAATGAACTTTGGTGAAATTTTCATTTATGTTCTGATATCCAGACTTCATGTCCTTAAAAAACTCCTTGAATGTTCCATTGCTCCCTTCACCTGACAAATGACGATAGATAAAACGATTGATAAAGGAGCACCATCAGATTGCGGTACAACTTAGAATTAGATCTGGATCGTTTGCCATCACAATGTCCATGCGGAAAAACGTTTGATGTGAACCATTCTCTAAATTGCCATCTTGGTGGCTACATCATTATCAGACACAACGAAATTAGGGATTTTTTAGCTGGCTTGCTGAACACTGTTTGCACGGTGGTTTCTATAGGCCGGGCCAAGTGGCTTTTTTCGATGTTAAGGTAATTAATCCTAATTCTAATTCCTACCTTCAACATTCGACAAAGAAGACCATGGAGAACGCCGAGAGACAGAAAACACGATGCTACAACGAGAGAATACTTAATGTAGAGCACGGGTCATTCGCTCCATTAATTTATTCAGTAACTGGTGGCATGGGACCTCAAGCCAGGACATTTGAGAAACTGCTTTGCAACAAACTTGCTTATAAGAAGAAGCAGAATTACAACGATATTATAAATTATTATCGGTGTAAATTGTCATTTTTAATTAGGAAATTAATTTTATTGTGTATTAGAGGATCAAGAAATACCTCAAACAAAACTTACGAATTATCTTACATGGATGATTTAGAATTTAACTCTTTCGAATCGCGAAAGTCAACTAATTTTTTCAGTCCCATGGACTGGTTTTTATTTTTGCAATGATGATGTTCATACTATATAACCTGTAATACTATTCTGTATATATCTAATTTCGTTTTCCAAAAAAAAATAAAGGAGCACCATACATTTATTTTCGTTTATTTGAGCTCTAAATCTAGTCGATATACATTGTTGTAAATTATATTGTTATATATTATTCTATTTGTTTTCCAAAAAAAAAAAAATTGAGCTCTACAAGAGTACCTCAAGGAACAGCTATAAACTTCATTATTAGATTAGATGTGAAGTGGAATAACATAAGGTGTTAACTAATTACAACATCACAAATCTATTACATTTATTGAGGACGTTACAGAATGAATTAATTTAATGTAGTTTGAGGAGTCCTCACTCTCCTCACGTCAAGCAATGGCGTTTCTCTTGTCGCTAATATAAATATAATGGTATTTTGGCCATAACATCATATAATTTGACACCGTGTATAATAATAATGTGTCAATTAAAGGTCTCGACTACCAAGGTTTCAAACCATGGCTCTTGGTAACGATCCTCTGGCCCGGAATCAGCTAACCCAAGCAAAAAGAGTAGAACAGGAAATAGAACAGTAAATCAAGGTTTTTACTGAGTCCCGTCGGATTAAAATGTTTCTCGCCGGAATGTGTTTTGCCGGAATGTGTTTTGTCCTTACATAGCTGGCCTCTAAAGTTTTTGATAAAGGCTTAATGGCATCTTGTGTAATCTCTAAAAGTCTTTAATAAGTGCTCAGCACTGAAATTATTAAATACAACTCGATAATTTAGTGGTATGTACACAGTTAAGCTCACCAATTAGAGAGTTGCAATTCCAAGTAACTGTGAGGTATTTAGGTTGTCCGTGGCAAGGATCTCCAAATATACTGTTCTTAGCTTCCAGTGCGCAGGAGCTTTCTCCGTTGCATTTCTCTTGCACCTCCTGTTGTTATGAAATTGTTGTCTACTTCAAATCTAAAGATGTAGAATTTTTCACGAACAATCCTGCTGCATTATCATAAATATAATATTAGTATAGGCTGAATTGACACGTACATGAAGTGAAGTTGCAGAGGCACATTTTCGAGCTCCACTGGCCAGCTTTACTCCACACGTGTTATCGTTGCGGTGCACGCCGTACACCGCCTGCTTCACCTCTATTAGCCCTTCACCGCAATCAATCGACACAGGAGCAATTTTATGCTCGCATACCTCAACTGTACTGCTTGATCCAACTATAAATATAATTCCGATTTAAACATTAGAAATGGAATTCAATTCTTTTTGTCCGATCAATTGCTAATTTTTGTCTAAAACGGAGCTTACTGCCTAGGAACTCTTTCTACTAAGCGAACAATATGGCATTGGCAACGTCAAGAGATTGTTAGTGTCCGATTAGTTCATTATAAACAAAGAATCAATGTTTTCGACTGAAATGTATAGAATTATAGCTAAATCACCAAAAGGGTGATATATCAAAAATCCTAACCTTTGCAAAACACTTTTGTTTCATAATCGTCTAGACCAAAATCTGCACCTCCTTTAGGCAAAATCGTGTGAACTTCTGTCCCGTCAATCTCCACTTTTACCTAGTGGTAATAAAATGATATCATCGCATTACTAGAATTAATATTATTAGAATTAGAAATTCATGAAACATATATACATACATGTTACATGGTAAGGTCTCCTCCTAGTCGTTGGAGTGGCCTGCATCACACACATTGCGTTGGCGGCGTAACATATGTCTCCACTGTACTCGGTTGGTAGCCAAAGCTTCTGTTGTGTCGTTGTCGATGTTTTCAACACCTGTAAACTTAGCACCATCTTCGAGTACGCATGACTTCCAGTTCTTACGGGGTCTGCCCCTTGACCTCTTTCCATAATTTGGCTTCCAGTTCAACAGAAACCTCGGTAGTCTAGAGTCTGGCATTCTAACTACATGTCCATACCAACGTAGCCTGGCAGCACTGATGAAAGTTTCAACTGACTTGATGCCAGCCCTCCTAAGAACTTCGTCGTTGGTCACATGAAAGAACCATTTAATCCTAAGGATCCTTCTCAAGGAGGTTTGATGGAAAACCTCGAAGCGTTTCATCTGCTTTTTGGTGGTGTTCCAGACTTCAGCTCCATACAACAAGATGGTGAGGACAGCAGCCCTATAGATCCTGATCTTGGTTGGAGTCTTTATAGTTCTGCTATTCCAAATGTTCCAGAGCTGATGAAAGGCGCCATTAGCCTTCTGGATACGGACATCCAGGTCTCTGATGATTGTCCCATCCCCACTGATAGTTGCACCCAGGTAGACAAAGTTGCTAACCTGCTCGACGGGTTCACCCTCAACCGACAGCTCAATACAATCATCCTTGATGAAAGGTCGCTGGGAGGCGCACTTGCTTACAGCCATGCATTGGGTCTTCTTTGCATTTATTCTGAGCCCAGCGTAGGAGCTGTAATGAACTGATAGATCAGTTGATTCCTGTAGGCCTTCCCCTGAGTTGTCCATAATAGCCATGTCATCAGCATAATCGGTGTCCAGAATGACCTTTTCCTCGACCGTCTTCATCTCTTTCTGCAGCACTGCGCCTTGACTGATGATCTTGTTGGTCTCAGCCAGAAATGCAGAAAAGTTTAGGCAGAAATTAAAGACAGGAGGTGCTTGAATGTCACCCTGACCTGTGCCTGAGTTAACATCAAATCATGAAACAAAAATGTTTATCCTAACTTATTAATTTAAACAGTATTAAATTGTCTAGCAAATAGGGGGATAACTTGTGCGAATATTATCCACCATACCTTAGTAAGATCCAATCCATTATCACCACCAGTCCTCAAATATACACATCCGTAATCTCCGATGTTGATATCACTCTCAATATAGCACTCTACATCATCACCTTTGTTATCAAAGTCGGCTGATTCAGCCAACTTTGATAAACACTCCTGTTCCTCAGTCTCTCCTTCGGATCCAGTAATTTTAACGTATTGTGAGTCTTCCGAGCCCGCATTACCAGCTTTCGATATCGAGTACGTTATTTTGTACTGAACAACTGAAATAAAAAGGAAACGAGAAAAATCAGTTTGTACATTTATAATTATTTAAATTTATGACAACAAGAACTGATATGCGGCAATTAGGATCTATCCGAATCTCGGCTTAGTCCCGGTTCCGGTCAAAACTCTAAACAGCACTGTGGAAATTGTTCTAATACTGAGTTGACTATATATTTGTTTATCACTGTGCATTATAACGGTTCTGCTCGGTTTAGCACGTTACATACAAATACTATTTCAAAGGTCTTGTTGTAGAGTGAAGTAAAACTGAAATGAGAGTGCGAACGATATTAACTTTGAGAACTGGTAATATGGCTAATAATCGACCATGCAGAGCTAAAAAATGAAACACAGAAATACCTTGGGACGAGGTAACACATAGTAGTGTTAGAAGCAGTAAAAATATTCGTAATTGCATGCCTGCTGGTTATTAACAAAATATTACTGATATCGAATTCATAAAAACATAATAAAATTTGAAATCAAGGGTTGTATTTTTATAAACGACTTGTGGTCTACTAGAAGTAAATTTAATGTCTTGAAAGGAGAAACACAAAACAGGTATGTTACCAGTTCTGCAGTCGATATGGACCGTTGTAATACTAATATGGACGATATTCTCAATTTAGAAATTTGTGATTTAATCCTTTCGGCTCGCACCCAGACCCGTGTTATCATTGCATTCAATTATATTTAGGACATGAAACTAGGTTATGTTACATAAGGGGTCGTTCATTTGGATGATGATTAATCACTCTACACTCGACTGTCACGTGTAGGCTATCCGATAATCGTAGCCAATAATTATCTCCGATAATAGATAGCCTAGTCACGTGACTATTTTGATACGTTGTCTAGGTGACCCGGAAGGACTATTTAAAACACCAAATAAATTATGCAGATAAGTGACAGAAAGTAATTGCACAACTGTTACAATTTTATAGATCATACAAAACATGAAAAGTTAAAAGAAATGCAATGTGTGGTAAGTTGCAAATACCATTTTGAAGAATTCTTATCATTTTAACAATTACCTTTTATTCATTTAATTACATAAAAGGTCATTTTATTAATTAAAAGTTCCGCTTATCATTTCGTGATTTGAAGTGTGAAGATTTCGTATTTGTTCTAAATTCATTATCTCTACCATGGCCATTTTGCGGCTTTTACTAATTTGCTCGCCCAAAAATTTCACGTGACTTTGGTTTTTATGGTTTTGCAGCCGTACAAAAAAACGGTATTACATAAACCCTAATCCCAACCCTAACCCTTACAATAATAACCCCGAAGCTATTCATAACCCAGCTAAGGGGGGGGGGGGGGGTTAAGGTTTCCAAATGATTACGCTAGTGTAATTTTGACACAATTAATAGCTATGTGTAAAACTGATTACGGAGAGGGGGAGGGGTAAAAATGTTCCAAACAATGATGACGTAATATGTGAACGATCACCCTTAAGCAACATTTGACAAAATATTTTATGGAGTGAGCTATGTGCCTTTACTTACTGGGCCGCGCTCAGCCTGTCAATATTTATAAATGTTTATGAACATGATAGCCTGAGGTCCCCAGGTAATATGTGCCCAGCCTTGGCAAACTCGGTGAATGCAACCAGCAATGTCCTATTGCGGTACGGAAGTGTTAAACAAGGAACTGAAACCGAGGGGTTCCGTTCAGGCCCTTCGCACTTTGTGTAGCTGTCTGGTTTTAATATACCGTTACACTAATGACTTTAATATAACATAATAAGCAAGCTTTAGCGTTAATTGACGATGTCAATTCATGGCAGCTCGGCGCGGCACAGTAGCGCATTTCGCCGATCTAGCTGTGAGAAGCCTTATTGAGTGCGCGGCGCGGCACAGTAACGCATCGCGCTACAAGCTTTAGCGCAATGCACTACTTGAACTGCGCAGCAAACAATTTTTCTCGCAACCACTTCGTTGACGTTAAAATCGGTGCGATGGCGCAGTGTGCACCATTAGCGAGCCCTCCCACTTCGAATATGGAATAACACTTGATTCACGATGTCAATCCTTCGCAGCTCGGTGAGGCACAGTGGTGCATCTCGCCGATCTACCGAAGTTGTGTAGTCTGTGGTTGCGAGAAGCATTATTTGATGCGCGCGCGACCCAGTAGTGCATCGCGCTACAAGAATAACACCCGTTACTTTAGCTAGCTTTGATTGCATAACTGCTATAAACCTTAAACAAAAACCTGAGCCTAACCCTAACCCTAACCGATAACTAGCTAGATCACTGGGGTTTGTTAATGGTCCGGCCCGCGGCGCTTGCTATTTCGTAGCGCTTGCCATCGGGCCAACATTTCGAGAGGAAAAGGCGCGCGCTACTTCGAAGAAATTTAGAAGAGTAACATCCGTCAATGCTTTGTCATACGTTGTATGACCCGTTGACGGATGTTACTCGTGCTATTAATTTCTTCTCGAAATGGCGGCCCGATGGCAAGTGCTACGAAGTAGCGCGCGCCGGGCCAGATCATTAACAATGGTCAATATATGACCCGCCGCGCAGCGCACGAGTGCGCGGCTCCCCCTGTATCGTTGAAACTCTACAGGAGTACTATAGTGAAACGACAGTGTGGGTCACGACGTGATACAATCAATGCTCCCCTTGTCATGTATTGCCCCTGGCGAAAATCAGGATGCCGGCGAAAAACTGTCTTGATAGGCTTTTACTAATTCGCTCGCCCAAAAATTATTTGTATCACGTCTGACGTCGCGTGACCCCCACTGTCGTGTCAGCCGCGCACTCGTGCGCGGCGGGTCATACAACGTATGACGACAAATTATCACGTGACTTTGGTTTTTATGGTTTTGCAGCCGAACAAAACGGTTTTACATAAACCCTAATCCCAACCCGCAACCCGAGCCCTAAACAATCAATGTCGTGTTTTACTAGCGTGTCACGTGACCAAAATTAAAACAGTTTTTTGCCCATATCTTTCCAGGGAAGCATTTTTCGCTAAAATTAAATCGCTTGCCCCAACTTTAAGTTAAAGCCCTGATGAGGGTATGAAAGTAATCTGATTGGGTGCATTTTTGGACGCTGATTCCGCGAATCACCCCACATGACGTAGTGTAAAAATGCTTCCCTAGGGAGTTATGGGCAAAAAACTGTTTTGGTCACGTGACAGGCTAGTACACGAATTTGTTTGGGTAGGGCTCGGGTTAGGGGCCATCTACTTAAATCAAAAGCCAAACCTACAAGATTCTATAAACCAAGAACAAAGAAAAACTCAGTTTTATTTCTGCGATAAATTTAAGATAAAAATAGTGAAATCATGTAATATTATGTTGATAGGATAAGTATAAAGTAACACAATAAAAATGTGAACTTCCTTAAAAACAAGCTGATTCCACAGCTGGATTTGAGTAAAAATGCAGCGTGTAAAATGTCGTAACTTCGGCAGCATCATAGTAGCGCGACATGTGTTCGCGAACAGGTGTGTTAGGGTTAGGGTTAACCCTAACCTCTGATACCTGTTCGCGAACACATGTCGGGCTACTTGGCTATTTGGCTACTGCCGTAACTTCAAACTGAGCTGTAAGTGTAAACAGCCACTTACAGTGACTCAAAATACTGTACTTTAAACTCTCAATCTGTAAGTACAGTACTATACTTGAAGATAATTTTCATGTACCTAGTTAATGAAAGACAGGTTCAGAAATTGCAACAATTAATGAGCCGTAACATTAAAGTTCTTTGTTTTTTAAATGTTTGCGCTCTTATATCGAGAACTCAATTTAACAAGTACAGTCAGACCTCTTCTAATTGCACTGCCACTAGCTAGGCGCGATAAATAATCTCGGTCATTGTACGATTTAAGTGTCATTTAGTTAGGCGAAAATAATTTATGACATCAAACAACGAGTACATGCCACACATACAACAGAGGTCTGACAGTAGCAACAATAAATTAAAAATAACCTTTATCAAACCGAATAAAAAGGAGTTTATATTATTAACATTCAATGATTCAATGTCCAAATCCCATATTTCCGATCAGATATATTGACTGAATAAATGGAACGGTTTCCTTGAATACAGCTGCTCATCAGGGACAAAAGGATTTCGCGGCATGTACGAAATCGCGAAATTTCCCATTCTCCGCGACAAATTTTATGTATACTTTAATGTACAGCCTGTTAAATTTCGCGGTACCGCGATTTTTGGCCAAAATAATCGCGAAATCCTTTTGTCCCTGCTGCTCATGAATTCAGAATTCGTATCAAAATCAATCTGTTCGCATTAAGGACAACTATAACAACCCCGGTGACAAGATATTAGAACAATCTAATAAAATAACAGTGTATAAATAATATTATGTATATTATAACTTAAATGTGGCGAAAGGAGACGCCTCCCCACAAATAGGCCTAAAACTAGACTGACATCACCTCGTGAGAGGCGGGAACATGTCGACATCACCTCGTGAGAGGCGGGAACATGTCGACATCACCTCGTGAGAGGCGGGAACATGTCGACATCACCTCGTGAGAGGCGGGAACATGTCGACAGGAGGCTCGTGAGAGGCGGGAACATGTCGACATCACCTCGTGAGAGGCGGGAGCATGTCGACATCACCTCGTGAGAGGCGGGAAGATGTCGACATCACCTTGTGAGAGGCGGGAACATGTCGACAGGAGGCTCGTGAGACCTGCAGGTGGGACAGGTGTGGTTTTGGGTAGCAAACCACTGATCAACACACTTCTTGTGGAAATCGTGGCCACAACCAAGCCGGGACACGGCCATGAGGTTGAGGCCCTCGTGGCAGATAACACAGGTTTTCTCAGGGACTACTGGAACGGAGGTGTTAAGGGGAGTAGAGGGGTAGTCCAACTCAACCAGCTCAGAGACTCGTAGGAGAGCGATGGTGGGTGTTACTTTTATGCCCTGTGCGTCCGTGTCTTCTTTTACTCGTTTCAGGTACTTGTTTATCTCCTTTCTGCGGGCGATTGGGTCAAATATTACTGATTTTTAAAATAGTTCGTCTTTTGAAATCTCTCGCGTCAATGAAGTTTAATTAGTGGCGAATGGCGATTAAAAATGACTAAAGGGTTCGATTTAATGTAAGTAAAGTAAATAGCTGATGTCCATTGTCCTATGAGATACTATAACTGACCCCCGCTATGCTCATTTCCACTGTACTTACTCTGAAAGGAAAGAGAATTTCTCCTTTATCCTATTCTTGAGAGCAGCCCCCCTCTCTGGACCGGACCTCGCACCGGGAGCTCTCGTGGCTGGTGGACCAGGCACCTGAGGAGAGGGTTGTGTAAAGTTGGTTGTCATGACATTGGCAATTTGGCAATTGGCATGTTAATCAAGAATAAGGTTATCTCTAAACAGTGCAGTATTTCTCAGACTAACGAACTGGAGAAGGGCCCAGCACCTTGGGACAGCTAAACACCATGTTCTCGGAACTAATCGTGAGAAAAATGAGGAATTTGGATTAGTGACGACGTTTAATTCGCCATAAGTTTGTGGTTATGATGAAATTAGTAATCTTATTGAGGAGAAAATTTTCTGCGGGGCGACACAATAACGCTAACGGGGCACGGGCTTTTAAACTGAATATAGCGAACTACCTTCACGCCAAAACACATTTCGAAATGCTGCGATTTTTAGCCGTTTCTGTGTTTTTACTTTCGGTAGCACTCTGCTACAAGACCTACAATGGATATAAGGTAGAGTTCAACTTATTTTATCTATCACTTGATCACAGCTAGACTCCCTTTTACACAGTTCTATTTTTTATTATTTTCGATTAACTCAAAAGAAAATGTCAGTTGATTTGTCTTTCAGATCTTGCGGGTGAAAGTGAATTCAGTTGCGGACTACCAGAGTATCCTCACACTGGAGTCTAAATACCTACTAGAGATATTCTCCGAGGGTCGACAGGGGCATGTAGACGTGCTAATTAAACCTCAACACTTGATAAAATGCCAGAAATACTTCAAATCTCAGGATCTGACCTATGAGTTAGCAACGGATGATGTGGGAGAAGAAGTGGATAAAGAACGCAAGAGGATTCTTTTAAAGGCTAGTGTTGCGCAGGGCGAATTCTCTTTTGACACATACCACCGGCTTAAAGTCATATACGACCGTCTTGATGCTTTGGCAGCTAAACATACTGCAATAGCTGAAACCTTCAACCTTCCGGGGGAATCTTACGAGAAGAGAAAAATACAAGTTATCCGGATAACATCCAATGTTGCCTCAGCAGAATCAGCAGACAAGCCGATGATTTGGATTGACGGTGGAATCCATGCTAGGGAGTGGGTAGTACCTGCCACAATGATGTACATCATTGAGTCTCTGCTCGGAGAAAAGGAGCCCGAAAAAAACGATCGAATGAATGCCATTCTTGATAAATACCAGATTATTATAGCTCCGTGCATCAACCCAGATGGTTACGAATATTCTCACGAAGAAGAAAGATTATGGAGGAAAAATAGGAAACCTTCTGGTTGTAAAAGCAACAAACACAACTGGTTTGGAGGGTGCTTTTACACGTGGTGCTATGGAATTGACCTGAACAGAAACTGGGACAGTGACTTTGGAAGGGTTGGGGTTAGTAAAGATCCGTGCAGTTTAGTGTATCCAGGCAAGGAACCCTTCGACCAGTTGAGCACCACGATCATCAAGGAGTATCTGGAACCAAATAAGAACAAGTTACAGCTATTTGTAACCTACCACAGCTACTCTCAACTGTTCCTCACCCCTTTCGGGTACAACGATACTGTGATACCCAAGGACCATGAACACCACATAAAGGTTGGGGAGGCAGTTGTGAAAGCTATTGCTGGGCGCCACAACGTCACATACACAGCTATGCGCGCAGCACTGCTCTATCCTCATAGTGGGAATAGCGTTGATTGGGCATACAACGTTCTAGATGTGCCTGACTCCTATTGTTTTGAACTGAGACCAGATGGGGACTCCTGGAGGGTTGGATTTGAGCTCCCAGAGGATCAGATTGTACCAACAGCTGAGGAGAATGTGGATGGTTTGCTGGCTCTTATAGCCAATATTAAGTACGAGATAGAGGATAAATCTGACGATAAGGACGACGGGGACAATCAGGACGACGGGGATGATCAGGACGACGGGGATGATCAGGACGACGGGGATGATCAGGACGACGGGGATGATCAGGACGACGGGGATGATCAGGACGACGGGGATGATCAGGACGACGGGGATGATCAGGACGAAGAAGATGATCAGGACGACGGGGATGACCAGGACGACGGGGATGATCGGGACGACGAGGATGATCAGGACGACGGGGATAATCAGGACGAAGAGGATGATCAGGACGAAAAGGATGATCAGGACGAAGGGGATGATCAGGACGAAGGGGATGATCAGGACGAAGGGGATGATCAGGACGAAGGGGATGATCAGGACGACGGGAACGATCAGGACGACGGGGACGATCAGGACGAAGAGGATGATCAGGACGACGGTGATGATCAGGACGACGGGGATGATCAGGACGAAGAGGATGATCAGGACGACGGGGATGATCAGGACGACGGGGATGATCAGGACGAAGAGGATGATCAGGACGAAAAGGATGATCAGGACGAAGGGGATGATCAGGACGAAGGGGATGATCAAGACGACGGGGACGATCAGGACGAAAAGGATGATCAGGACGAAGGGGATGATCATGACGAAGAGGATGATCATGACGAAGAGGATGATCAGGACGAAAGGGATGATCAGGACGAAGGGGATGATCAGGACGACGGGGATGATCAGGACGACGGGGACGATCAGGACGAAGGAGATGATCAGGACGAAGGAGATGATCAGGGCGACGAGGATGATCAGGACGAAGAGGATGATCAGGACGAGGGGGATGATCAGGACGACGGAAAATCTGATGATTCAGACCAGAAATCAGACGTATAATTGGACTAGCAAATAAGAGGTTTAGAATAAGACTTTGAATATTTTAACTTTAAGTTCGAATCAGTTGTTTTTGGAATGTATTTTGATCTTTGTCGGAAACAAACAAGTTTATCTAATTGGATCAGTATTCCTGAGTTTGAGATGATCAAAAACATCTCATTTGTACTCACAAATTTCTGATAACCTCCTATCATCTGCAAACTTTTAAACAGTTCTATAATCCTAAACGTAATATATATCCTCGACCTTCTCATCCCTATTTTTATCAGCTTATAATACAAAGAACCTACGTTGCCCACTAGTACTAAACTAGACATCTGCCGCACACTGCACAGTCATATTATTCAGACTTCAGAGCATTCTTCTGACAAGTAAAAAAACAACATCATGAAAAGTGCTAGAATTATCTTTTGAAAGGTTGAGGGACCTCAGTGCTTTGTTTTTATTCAATTCACACAACTCAGCATACGAGAATCACATTAGTGTAGACATGATAAATTGCCAGCGTCACCTCGAACAATACTCTTTAAAATGAAAGGAAATGGAATAAAGGCCATTTTTGTAGGAGTAGAACATTGACGAATCATCAAAATGTTGAGGAATTTCATAATTCTTGTGGCCTTGTTCTCGACAACTTACTGTTATAAAACCTATGATGGATACAATGTAAGATTACTTCTGATTATCAACGTTAAGCGTTAACGACTGCAACAATATGATTCTTCGCGACCTTGAATCGTTTAGAAAATTTTAAATTTGAATTTTGAAATGATTAATCTCAAATTAATAAGACTAATCATCAGATTCTACGGGTGAACATAAACTCTGCTGATGACCACCAGAACATCCTATCTCTTGAATCAGAAGATGTGCTGGAGATATTCTCTGAAGGTAGATCTGGACACTCGGACGTTCTGATATCTTCCCAGAATTTTCCAAGATGCCAAACATATTTCCAGTCACATGAGTTGACATATTCTGTGGTATCGGACGCGGAAGATGTTGGGGCAGAAATAAGGAAGGAACGACAAGGACTCATGCTGGCACCTCAAATTGCACAGGGAGAATTCTCTTACGACACCTACCATCGACTCAACATTATTTACGAGCATCTTGATGCCTTGGCAGTAACTCACAGCTCCAATGCCGAGACCTTTAACCTACCCGGCGAGACGTTCGAGGGAAGGAAGATTCAAGCAATCCGGATCACAACAAACGTCACTTCAGAGGCATCTAAAGAGAAGCCCTTAATATGGTTGGATGGAGGAATACATGCCAGAGAGTGGGTATCACCAGCCACTGTCATGTACATCATCGACTCTCTGCTCGGAGAACAAGAAAAGGACAAATCAACATAGATGACAGCCCTTCTGGACGAATACCAGTTTATCATCGCCCCTTCAATCAACCCTGATGGTTATGAATACTCCCACTCAACAGACCGACTCTGGAGAAAGACTCGAAAACCGTCAGGATGTAAGAGTAACATGCACAGTTGGTTTGGAGGATGCCTCTTCTGGAAGTGCTATGGAGTGGACCCCAACAGGAATTGGAGTACTGACTGGGGTAGAGTAGGAGTTAGCACAGATCCCTGCAGTGAAGTCTATCCTGGAAATAAAGCGTTCGACCAGAAAAACACAAGAATGGTGAGGGATTACTTGGAATCAAACAAGAATAAGCTGAAGCTGTATGTTGGGGGGGGGGGGGGGGGCCAATGACTACCAATGGAGACTTTTGGGGACTAATGGGGACTAAAAATCATGGGGACTAGAGGTCAACTCGTTGACGTAATTCACCATTTGTCCCCATAAGTCCCCAGAATTTTTGACAGTTATTTATGGTTTTCAAGTTAGTTTAATAACGATACGATCGAGATGTTTTGTCCAAGATAAGAGTAGGATAAATCTAAATGGGGACTAATGGAGACTTTTGGGGACTAATGGGGACTAAAAATCATCTAAATGGGGACTAATGGAGACTTTTGGGGACTAATGGGGACTAAAAATCATGGGGACTCGGGGTAAAATCGTTGACGTAATTCCCCAAGACCCCAAAAGTAGCCATTGGCCCCCCCCCCCCCTGTATGTTACATATCACAGCTACTCTCAACTGTTCCTCATCCCTCTAGGATATTCCTCAGATATTCTCCCCAAGGACCATGAGCACCATATTAAAGTAGGGAATGCAGTTGTTAAGGCTATTGCTGGTCGCCATGGTGTTAAGTACGAACCAATGCGCGCGTCTGAGTTGTATCCAGCTAGTGGAGATAGTCCAGACTGGGTTCACGACGTGCTGGGTCTTACTGATTCCTACACATTTGAGTCGAGACCAGACGAGAACTCCATGTTCGGATTCGAGCTTCCTGAGGAGCAGATTCTACCGACGGGAGAGGAGAATGTGGACGGTTTACTAGCTCTCATTGCCAACATAAAGTACAACGATAAAGTTGAGTAAATCCTAATACAGAACGTGAAATTCTTCCAAAATGCTGCTTACCAAAAGGGAATGACTCACTAATCGGAGCTAGAACTGAGTTGCAGAATATCGATTTTTTCACGGGTCAGATTATCTAAAATGTAGATTTATTTTAAATGGGTGTTGACCAACTGAATAATGCGTATCAATTTCTCCTTGTTATCTATCACAAAACATCTAAGGGCTAGACCAAAGTTCTAGAACGATAGTCTTAGAAGTTTTACCACATTCAACCACCTCGCCAGATTTGGCGTTTCTCCAGTCCCATTTTCGAGCTTAATATAATATAAGGACAAATCTTCGTGTTCACAACGTAACTTAATTAAGAGTTTGAGAAAATAAACATAAATATATACAATCTGCCGCCAGACACCTGCCGTTAACTTACAGAGTGTCTTCTGACAGTTTACTGAGGTAAATAAACAATGGCTTAGAAAGAAAACAACAGCCGGACAGGTGGAAAGTTACACTTGAGTTCTACCATTGTCACTTGAAAGTTAAAAGGGCTTTGTTTTCCCTCAATTAGCACAATTAAGCGTAAGACAATTGGATAAGTGTAGACGTGAGAAATTGCCAACGTTCTGATGAAAAACAGGATCTTTCAAGTAGAGGGGAAAACAAAATTTAAATCATTTTTGTTTGACTAGAAACGTTTACGAATCATCAAAATGTTGAGGAATTTCGTAATTCTTGTGGCTTTGTTCTCAACAATTTACTGTTATAAAACCTATGATGGATACAAGGTAAGATTACTTCAGATTATCAAAATTGAGCGTTAAGGCCTGCAAAAATGTACCTAACTCTTGGCAACCTCGAATCGTTTAGAAAACTTTAAATTTGACTTGATTAATCTCAAATTAATAAATCTAATCATCAGATTCTACGGGTGAACATAAACTCTGCTGATGACCACCAGAACATCCTATCTCTTGAATCAGAAGATGTGCAAGAGATATTCTCTGAAGGTAGATCTGGACACTCGGACGTTCTGATATCTTTTCAGAATTTTCCAAGATGCCAAACATATTTCCAGTCACATGAGTTAACATATTCTCTGGTATCGGAAGATGTTGGGGCAGAAATAAGGAAGGAACGACAAGGACTTCTACTGGCACCGCAGATTGCACAGGGAGAATTCTCTTACGACACCTACCATCGACTCAACATTATTTACGAGCATCTTGACGCCTTGGCAGTAACTCACAGCTCCAATGCCGAGACCTTTAACCTACCCGGCGAGACGTTCGAGGGAAGAAAGATTCAAGCAATCCGGATCACAACAAACGTCACTTCAGAGGCATCTAAAGATAAGCCCTTAATCTGGTTGGATGGAGGAATACATGCCAGAGAGTGGGTATCACCAGCCACTGTCATGTACATCATCGACTCTCTGCTCGGAGAACATGAAAAGGACAAATCAACACAGATGACAGCCCTTCTGGACGAATTCCAGTTTATCATCGCCCCTTCCATCAACCCTGATGGTTACGAACACTCCCACGTTAAAGATAGGCTCTGGAGAAAGACTCGAAAGCCATCTGGATGTAAAAAGAACAAATACAACTGGTTCGGGGGCTGTTTCTACAAGAGATGCTATGGAGTGGACCCCAACAGAAATTGGAGTACTGACTGGGGTAGAGCAGGAGTTAGCACAGATCCCTGCAGTGAAGTCTATCCTGGAAAGGAAGCCTTCGACCAGGAAAACACAAGGATTGTAAGTGATTTCCTGACCCCACACAAGGACAAGTTGAAGCTCTATGTCACCTATCACAGTTACTCTCAACTGTTCCTCACACCGCTCGGATACACGACAGCAGAACCTGCTAACTACCAGCACCACCTGAAAGTTGGGGCAGCTGTGGTGACGCCATCGCGCAGCGCCACGGTGCTAAGTACATAAACCAGCGCAGTGCTGCGCTCTACCCGGCTAGTGGGGACAGTGCTGATTGGGCCCATGATGTGCTGGGTCTTACTGATTCCTACACTTTTGAGTTGAGACCCGACGAGAACTCCTGGAAAGTCGGATTCGAGCTTCCTGAGGAGCAGATTCTACCGACGGGAGAGGAGAACGTGGACGGTTTGCTAGCTCTGATAGCCAATATAGAGTACAACAACGATGTTTAGTACAGTACACTGTAGAGGCAAATTTTTTGAAGATTCAGCTTCGCATGTGATTCTTTTCTAACGGAAAAAAGTATTATTTAACAATGTGATTTGCCTTCGACTTTTCAAAGCGCTTTTTATTTTTTGGAGCAATATTGTAGAATATAGCAATTATTGTAGTTCAAGTTTAGTTAACTGATTCACGAGAATTTAGAAAAACGTTCCTAAAATTCCTAGTTCATCGAAACAATTCAAAATCATCAAACCCTAAAAACAAGGTCAGATTATTCAGATGGTGACTGAAAGCTTCAACAAGAAAAACATAAGCTCCTTTTTTTCGTAGGGGGCTTTGATCGGAAGGATCACTAGGTAAGATAGGAAATTTGAAATCTAGGTTTCCCGGTAAAAACGGAAGCTTACCTTGGGTTGAGTGGGCTGCTCGACTTGGCGAGGGCTGACTGATCCAACTGGTTGGTTGGAACCTACAACAGGGGGTACAGTACTCTGTCCGGATCTCTGGGTTCGTGCTCTACCACGCCCTCGTACCGGAGGCCGGGAGGGTTCCGTTGGTTGAGTGCTGGGTGGATTCTAAATTTAATTGTGGGACCTATTGTGCCATTCAGGCTTGAAAAATTAAATGACCATCCTACTGCTTAACTAGAAGTTAAAGTTACGAAATCTGAAGTTAAAATTACGAAATCAGAGTCTGATATTTTGGTTTTTTCAAGACTTTATTGATCACACTAGGGAAAAATCTCTTACATAGCTGCTGCCGCGGGTGAAGATCTGTTGCTACCAGATAGGTTTGGGATCACGGAGCTGGGTATCGCAAAGTCCGGTACATTATCAGCAGGCTGCCTCGTCTCGGACACAACGGGAGATAAGGTGTCAGCTATCTGGAAGTGAGCAGCAGGCTGCCGTGACTGCTGTTTCATAAAGTCTGCCAGGTCGAGAGGTTTGGAAGGGGGTCTGCTGGTGTTACTGCTTCCCCCAGAGGAGGGTGGTCTGGTGGAGGAGTTGGTGGGTGGCATGTCCAGGTCGGAGAACTGGAAGTGGGTATTGGAGGAGGGGATGGCTGGTGTGGAGGCCACCAGGTGGGCCGGAGTGGAGGGTACCAGGTGGGAGGAGTTCGGGAAGTGGGGGATCTGGGAGGTGTCGGGAGGTGCCATGAAGCTGGCCATGTTCGTGTCTCTCATGAGATCAGCCAACACTTTTAACTCACTGTCATTCTGAGGAACAATTTTTTAAATGAAAAGGACGATTTTTTAAAGTTACTGAAATAAAATAATCCAGTCAGCAACAAAAATAGGAATCAAAATGCCCCACACCGAATCCCTGTTAAAAGATCAGCTAGCTCATGAACCTGGTGATAGTTGGAAGGAGCGGAGGGGAGAGGAGGAGCAGGACGACCCAGCAGGATATCATCAAATCTCTGTAGAGGTAACATCGGTACAGCGGTCTCAATAGCTGGGCAGGGTGGTTCCTGCTCGAACTTAACCTCCATGTCTTGAGAGTTGTGGAGTGAGGTCACGTACTCTTTGTATCTGAGAAAGATGTAATGATTGGTTGTGTTTACACGGTAATGATTAAGGCCAGAGGGGGAGGGGGGGGGGGGTAAATGCTCAAAACAATTTACAAAAACATTATTCTTTTTTATTCATTTTTTGATGAAATTTTGCTGCCATTCACATATTTGTAACTGTACTCCTAAACTTTTTTTGATGAATGAGGTAAACCGATTCTTACAAAATTAACTAAACAACATTGAGGTTAATAAAATTGAGGTTAAGATGTTATTGCACTCCAAGATTTTTTGTTATTTTGGTCAGCAAATGATAACTCTAAATTCTAGGTTCATAATTGACAGTAAAAACGATATTTAAACGTTTATAAATGAGCTTAACCTATTAATTTAGGTAAAGCGGAAATAGATGAAATGATAGAGTTGTTATTTTCATCGTAAGATTATGGTATACAAATTTCTAAATATTAGATGTAGTGCTGATTAACTTCATTTTATCTGGAGAAAGTGTAGAAAATGAGGTTAACCATCACATTTGGTACCGTAAGAATTTTTTACATACGATTCTTACTTTTGTTATGTACCACAATATCACAGTGAGGTATCTATTTGTATCCCAATGCCTCAGCCCTCAACTATGATCATGTGACAAAGGTGATTTGAACTGACCATATTTAAGTAGAAGAGTTCACCCGCAAATGGCTAAAAAATGAGGTTAACCTCTCATTAGTTGAATATCGGGCCAGTCAATCACATGTTAACCTCAAAAACTTAATCGTTACACTGGGCAAATGTTTTACTACATGTATAACTATATATTGATAAACCGATCCCAGTGTAATATGGTCTATAGCGAGGTTAACAATTATATGTTTACTAACAACACAAGATATCATGATAGTTAACCCTATTTTTAGACAAATTTTGGTTTAAGATATTGATTTTCCCGACATAAAGTATTTCAATAAACATATTCTCACCTTAAAGCAAAAATTGTATGGAGACGCTACTAAATACGGAAAATAATGCACAATTTGAGATTTTGGCAGTGAAATAAAAACACTAAAAGTAAAACTCGTTTTACTTGAAACAGTTTTTTTCATACAAAAATCCTTAACTTGAAAAGACTGGCCACACCCAGAAGCTGAAACTTGGCACAGGTGTTTCTTGCGTTGTTGCGCAAAAAACGTTATGTTTTAGAATTTAGAATTTTGCCTTCATTTTTGAAATATGAGGTCAACTTTTTTTGAAAAATCGAATTTGGGGTAAAGTTAACCTCATATTTCAAGAACAAAGGCAAAAACCAAAATTCGAAAACATAACGTTTTAGCGTAACTCCCCAAAGAACACCTGTGCCAAGTTTCAGCTTCTGGGTGTGGCCAGTCTTTTCAAGTTAAGGAGGTTTACCTTTTTTCAGTTTAAGTTTAAGTTTTACATGTAATTACAGGTAAACCTCAATATTTGGCGCGCGATATCTAAAAAACACAAGGTCAGATTTCGGTCCGGTTTTTTCTTCTTGTCTGTCTCCAGCAGCTCTGATCAAATATGTGAAAACTAGAAAAATTATTTTTACCCCTCTCTGGCCTTAAAGCACTGGAACCCTTCTGAAGTTTTTCCGACCGTTAAAAAATTGGAAAATGAAAAATTTTGCTTACAAATGATTGTTATCGTCGATTCTGATCTTGATGTTGTCCTGACACTCCAGCCACAAAGACAGATAATAGAACTCGGGATTCTCCAGCTTGGCTCTCTCTCTTATCTGAGCCTCACAGTTTGCGTAGGCTATACGGAGCCGCAGTTGGGCCGTGTTGTACCTGGATCATTACCGTGTGGTGAAAAGCAATATAGTGTCCTGAATTATAAAATCAGGGGGTCGTGCTATGCAGGGTACATAAATGAAAGGCCATATTTTTCATAGATGTGGGACGTGGGTATATAAAACATGTCAAATACCGTTCCATGACGTGTTTCTGTTGAGTTCCCTTGTACTTCTCGTTGAGATCCAAGACATCACCCCTCAAGTTCATGGTGGCTTGATCACGAGAGAAAAGTTCGTTTTCTATCTGCTGTAGCTTTGCCTTCAACAGAGCGTTCTCCCTAAGATAATGCGATCTAGTTATATCACGTGCAAAATAAAGCGCCTAAGTTTAAGCTTTTAGAATGGAACGCAAATCTTATAATCATCAGATTTTAGAACTATCTACTGACGTAGGTGCTTAATATTATGTGTTTACAGGGGATACGTTTACTGACTTGCTTAGAGCGACGCTTCTCGTGTCCAATTCACGGTTTCTCTTATTAGCTTCTTCAATCTCGATCTTCATAGTTACGATAAGCTTCTTGGATTCGACTGATTTGCCAGTTCTTTCACTCAACCAGTTCTTTCTTTCGTCTTCCATCTGAAAAACTTATTTGTTAATCAACATAGATTTATGACCAATAGAACAATTGAAATAAGCGGCACTGTAAGATTAAGTACGTCATGATAGTTTACCCTCGTACAGTTTAATTAACAATAATTGCGCCGGTTAGCGGACGCTAAATTTCCATCAACCGTACTCGTAGGCATTTTTCTTTTAAAATTTAAAATAAAAAACGTTTCATGTAGCTCAAAATATCAAATAACTCTTCTTCATTCATCTCTTATTGCTGAATATGGTAACCGGGTAACCGGGTAACCAGTTAACCAGGTAACCAGGTAACCTGGTAACCTGGTAACCAGATAACCAGGTAACCAGGTAACCAGGTAACCAGGTAACCAGGTAACCAGGTAACCTGGATACACTTATATGGTAACCAGTTAACCAGGTAACCTGGTAACCAGGTAACCAGGTAACCAGGTAACCAGGTAACCTGGATACACTTATATGGTAACCAGTTAACCAGGTAACCTGGTAACCAGGTAACCAGGTAACCAGGTAACTGGGATACACTTATCCAGGTAAAACCCAAGAATTCCTGAGCTAGATACATCAATGATGTAACCTTTAGCTTTATTACAGATATCATGTGCCAACATGAAAATGTGTCCTGAGGTTGGTCATTGTATCCACTTGTTCAGTATACACCCTTTGAGGACTCATGGAACCGACTAGACAAAGGAAAAAGTGGACTAAACACGTTTATCAGTTAGATACTACCCTCGTACAATTATTAACTAACTACTAATGATACTGGAGTTAGCTGCAGTGCAGTTATACCATCTGCAATGAAGGGCTTATCAAGTTGTACTCTTTAGGAAGCACCACTTGGGAGCTTTTTAATTACATCTAAAAAATTCTTACATTGAGTTTCTAGTTTTTATTCATTGATATCAATTGTTACTACTAAGCATCTTGATTCTGGAAATTATGACGTTTTTATGAAATTATGATGTAAATTGTTATATTTTTAACAGAATGGACTACTCAACATCTTTATATTCAACATCTTCATATTCAACAGAGTTTGCCTTCAATAAGGCAGCAGACATTGCCTACGGATCTATCTGTTGTCTTTTCTTCCTCATCGGAACAGTTGGAAACCTAATCAGTCTCATATACTTCAAGTCAAAGAAAAGGGACATCTCCAATGTCATTTACATGATTATAACTGGGAATGACATCTTGATCAGCATAGCAATTCTTCCAGTTGGAATCTCATCCCTATCAAACAGACAACCAGGTCCCTGGTTTGCAAGTGAATACGGCTGCGTGGCTTCGGCGTACTTATGGTATATAACTGTGTCGTTGAGCATATTTCTTGTAATATGTCTAAGTATAAGCAGGACAATTACACTGCTCAGACCCTTTAAACAACAAACAATAAAGTATCTCATTATATCGGTGATAACGTATTCAGTGCTGAAATTAGCCTTCTATATAAGACTCCATATGTTTGAGTTTACAGTCATATCTTATTCCTCTGTCTACTTAACCTGTGACATATATGTACATGTCTATATTCAAACAAACAAGGCTGACTTCTTTACCTTGTTAGTTATTAGAAACTTAACCTACATTGCCCCGGCTTTTGTTGTTGCTACGAGATGCATCATATCAGCAGTGTTGCTCAGAAGAAGTGGCGTACAAGTGCAACAAGAACTTCAACGTTCCAGGAATAGAGCGACAGTAACCATTCTACTGTTTGCTTTGCTCTATGGAGTCTGCAACATACCCCTAGTTACTCATTACATCTTCTTGACATACTTGTGGATTACTAATGACTATGAATGGTACAATGGTTTGTATCAGTTTGATACACAGCACTATTATGATAACGCCGTGCGAACTCTACTCTTAGCTGCTAACTCTGCAGCTAACCCCATCCTTTACTTTTGGAGAATGCCTCGTCTGAAAGAAGGTACTCTGTCAAGTATCAGGAGGATATCGAGACTAATCAAAGAGGTCACAAGATCTACGAGCAATGTCCGCCAAGTAGGAGAACAATGTGAGAACAATGTCGCTCAGAACATCAGCGTAACTCCAAATACACTAGCTGTTGCTACCGAAGAGACCGAATTATAAGAACTGGAGGTTCTTATTTTTCGGTCTATTTTCCAAGGTGCTAATTATTGCTATATGAACTTTACTATCTTACCTGGACAGAACTCAATTATAATAAGAACGACAAGATTGCTTTAATCCTCTAATATTATATTAGAAGCAGGATCTTCTAATATAATTATTTGTATGTGCATTTAGTCTATAGTCTATAGTCTATAGTCTATAGTCTATAGTCTATAGTCTATCTAGTATATAGTCTATAGTCTATAGTCTAATATAGTTTATAGTCTATAGTCTATAGACTATATTTATGATAATAAATTTATTCAAATGTCCACTCGCAATTAGATAATAATATCGAGACACAAATTCAGGTTTACAGAAACAGTATTTAAGTTAATGAGTATATATTCATATCTATTGATACACTACACGAATTTATATGTTTATTTTTGTGAGAAAAACTGGGCCTCAAGCTCACAAATTAATATCCTGGTAACTGGTTTCATCAACATAATACAACAACATAAAAAAAGGAAAATTTGGCATGTGACTCCATGAGCAGTGAATAACTCTAATTTTAAACTTTTTTTGATCCGTTTTTTACAAATTTGCTTGCTGAACGCAATTACCTTAAAAGTAGCGAAACCAGATATTGCTAAATCTAGAGATATTGCTGGACTGAAGTCCCTCATTACGCCTATAGTTGAACAGATGCTAAATGACTGAACTTGAAGTAGTAATGAATCTCAAAGAGACGGATGGACACTGCAACTGGACAGGCAGATGATATAGAAGTTAGAAACCTGATTGATGATACTAACGAAGAGCCAATTTAAGCCAAGAGTACGAATGCCCTTGTCTCTGAGGCCCAAAGTCATTGTGATTTGCGGCTCATGATCGATAAGGCCCACTGTCACTCAGGCGTGAGGTTCTGGGAATCTGAAGCAAATCACCTGTGCTACTAATGGATGAAAAGTTTTACTCCACGTTCAATACTGGTTTCATATGTCTAACTAACTGTTGAAAAGATATAATATAATGTGAGTCAAGAGTCCAAGTAATTATCAAATATTTATCTCAGCCACTGCCCAGTTCCTGACATTTCAGGGTTTGTGACGGTTTGTGACCCCTATTGCCTATGTCAGGTGCTGAAGGATTGTATCAAAACCATACAATAGCATATTTAAAGCCCTATCGATAGCCACAAACCGCATCTTGAAAATTGCAACGTGAAAATTTGCAGCAAAAGATAAAACGAATTAACAAATTTGTATTGGTGTACCCAAAATTACCGATTTTTGCCAATATCTCTACAAATAAGCATTTAAGAGCATATAATGATTCATAAGTCTTATATAAATGTGCTCATTGCGCATATTTATCAATATTGGATAAGTTTTTACGACCTTTCTAGCTCGAGATATAAAAATAATCCGGTAATTCAGGCTGCAATGAGCCAAAAGACAGTTTTTCGTGAATATCTTAAAAACTAGGCACCTAAGACCTTATATTGCTTCATAACTTGTATATAAATAAGGCTATTGCGGTTATTTTAAGCCAATATTCAAGTCTCTAAGTCGTTTAGAAGCCGAGATACAAAAATCTCAAATTTGCGCCTGAGGGCAATTTAGAAATTTCGCCCTGTAGGACTGGGACTAGCGATACAAAAAGGGTACCTAGATGATTTTGGTTTGGAATGACCTAATGAAAGACCCTATGTGGTCAAAAATTGTGTACATTGAAGTGCACACTCAACTCCTCTCTGCTACTCTAGTAAATTATATTCGACAAGTAAATTATATTCGACAAGTATGTTTTAAATAATCGTTGATGGAGCAAACTTGGCAAATTGTAAGCTTTAAAACCACCCATGATTAGAATATGTAGAGTGTAGAGCTGTGAGTCTCAGTAGACTCAGCTGAATAACAATCTAGTTTGAACAAAAACCCCGGGAAATCTAACCTGCTTCAAGATTCTTTCATGGTCAATTTGCAGCTTGGTAAAATCTTGGACAATGTCTTGAGCATTCTTTGCTTCTTGTTTATATTGCTGAAAGAAAAACAAAATGTAAACCACCTAATAAGATTCCTTCAAAATTATTCAATAGGATGAAATCACCCATTAACATATTAGAGTTATTGATCGAAAGAGGACCTAAATCACATATTCACACCCCTAACGGTAGAGTAGATTATCCCTATTATTATATCCGGACCAAAATAGTACATTATTAGACATAATTATTTATTAGGGTAATTACCTTAGCTTTAGATTTTAATTTGCTGTGTTCGTCAAGCTGATCTACCAGTTGGGTCTTCATATGGTTGATCTCTTTATCGTATTTATTAGTTGTCTCCTCAAGTATTAGCTCGAGGTCGCTGATCCGCTCTAGCAAGTTCTTCCTCTGTAAGAATGTTTTAGTTAAACTCTTCAAAGTTAAAGAGGTCCTAATTTGCTCATTTCCATAAATGTCCATAAATGACTGGACTACTAACAGTAAATAAGCTCTGAAATTATTAGCGAATACTTCGTTTTTCCTGTTCATGTGAATCGTGAGGATGGAAATGATTAAGAAAGCGGGAATACAGCTAGTGCACCAGCACCTGCAAATTACAGCAAGTCTTACGAGTATACAGAGTGCACAAGAATCGTATGATCGACTCATTTTCGATCAAGGACGAAACGTGCACATGCACTTGTTGTAGGAGGTTAATTTGGGTTAATTTTGGGTTAATTTGTCTAAAGACTCATGTACCATGACTTCGGGTGGCTGTGACGACAATGACATAAAAACAGGAGCTGAGTGAACGAGTTCTGGGATACCAGATAACTTGGCGGGCTCCGGACATCTGCCACTAACATGCCGATCATTCCCACAACTAAAACATTTTGGATTCAATTCAGGACACCGACTGATAGGGTGACCCGTCTTTTCACAATGAAAGCAAGTTGTGTTTGCGTACATCAGTAAGGTGCCCTCATCCTCAGATGGAGCAGCAGAGCTTTTTCGAGTCACAGACTGAAATTGATGGCGCTCAAAATATGTCATGACAAATTGTGACAACGTGAATTAAATCTCCCAACAGCGCTTTATGTAAGAAAAATGAAATTGCTCCTTACTAAAGATTTTTTTTCCAGAATTTCAAAGTACAGCATGAATTATTTTAAAAACCCAGCTAACATCGAATTATTAATCCAAAAATACGATTGGATTTTTTGGTGCATTGATGAATGTTTACAATATCGGAATTATCAGTGATAATTCCAACTTCCCGGTCAACAGAACAAATTAACATGCCATGCAATTCCTCTGAAAAACACCACACAACAGGAATATAAAACACTGGCAAGTTGCCCACAAAATCTCACCTCAGCATAAGAAGCTTGTTCTTGAGAGGGTCTGATGGGAGCCCCAACATTAACAGGCACACTGATTGGAGCCCCTACTACTGGGGAGCTGAGTGAAGCTGTAGCTCTGCTCAGGAGGGCGTCGTGCATGCGGTTTGGAGGAATCTGTTGAGGGGTGGGCTGTACGTGGTGGTGTGGTCTACTGAGCTGGGGCCAGGAATCGGGAGCCAGCACCTGAACAGAGAGATTGTTAGTCTGTTTGTTTTTGGCGTTTGGAAGAAGGTAAAATGAACAGAGCAATTAACATACATCTAAGAACGGGTGGCACCTACTTTTTCGATAATAATTTGGGTGTAAATTTGCGAAGAGTTAAAAAAACTCTATGATATTTCCCTTATGTATCTTCATTGATTGGAACCTGAGTTTGAGTTGGTCGCCTGTGAGGTGGAATGTATACTTGCGGTGAAGTGGGGTTGATGGGGCTGGGTGGTTTGAATTTAAACGGCACATTGGGGCTGGGTGCTGTAATGTTGAATGGGAAATATCCTGAGATATCACTGCTCATCTTTGTATATGGTTCCTGTACCTATTGCAGGAAAATTAACAGCTAAAATCAGACAATCAGTCAAAATACTAGCAGTGTTGTCCGCCGCTATGTTTTTGTCGGCAGTGACGTTTTGTTAACATCAATTAGGCGGCGTCGGCCAATAATTCACCATTTTCGTTTCCTTTCGACGGAGGCGGACAACATTGCTTTAGTTTATAATTAATAACACATGCACAATAAACATTAAACAATCAACATTAAAGATTTTATTGAAGCACAGGGTTCGGTTTGGAGTTTTAGGGCGGTAAAATCGATTTCATAAACAACAATGCTCTTCATGTGAGCAATTAATCTCTACGTTGTATCCAATACAGATACAACCTTATTTGGGATATTTTCAAACTTTCTTATAAAAATGCTCATCGAATACTTTCAGTAATTTACACAATATAACAGCAATGGCATGCAACAGTTAGCGTAGCACGAATATATTACATGGTGAAGAGGACCAGGAAATGTGGCATTAAAGCCGTATGAAGGTTTAGAAGCCTGGGTATCAAAACCGTATGAAGGTTTAGAAGCCTGGGTATTGAAACCGTTTGAGGGTTTAGAAGCCTGGACATTAAAACCGTTTGAGGGGTTTGGAACTTGGACATTAAAACCGTTTGAGGGTTTAGGAACCTGCAGATTACATCACATTCAGACAAGTTACCAACAGACAATGAGATTTGAACAGAGATTGCATACAGCGATATAATTCAACTGTTTTTTAAAGGAAAAGTTGCTAGAATCAAGATCATTGCATAGCCAAAACGCGTAGGTCAGTGAGGTTTGCAAAGTCTTACCGGAGGAGAGAATTCAGCTGCTCCGGGGTTCAAGCTCCTGCAAATAACATTATTTTATTCTAAACACTAGCAGGAGTCGGAGTAGTAACTAGTAATACTAATAATAGTAAATACTGAATGTCACTCACTGCATGTTCCAGAAACACAAGTACTTGTTAACCAACAGCTGACACATTTACTTACCCAGAAATAGTTCTTTGTTTGGCAGCCACATCGGGGCTTGTTAACCAACAGCTGACACATTTACTTACCCAGAAATAGTTCTCTGTTTGGCAGCCACATCGGGGCTTGTTAACCAACAGCTGACACATTTACTTACCCAGAAATAGTTCTCTGTTTGGCAGCCACATCGGGGCTTGTTAACCAACAGCTGACACATTTACTTACCCAGAAATAGTTCTCTGTTTGGCAGCCACATCGGGGCTTGTTAACCAACAGCTGACACATTTACTTACCCAGAAATAGTTCTCTGTTTGGCAGCCACATCGGGGCTTGTTAACCAACAGCTGACACATTTACTTACCCAGAAATAGTTCTCTGTTTGGCAGCCACATCGGGGCTTGTTAACCAACAGCTGACACATTTACTTACCCAGAAATAGTTCTCTGTTTGGCAGCCACATCGGGGCTTGTTAACCAACAGCTGACACATTTACTTACCCAGAAATAGTTCTCTGTTTGGCAGCCACATCGGGGCTTGTTAACCAACAGCTGACACATTTACTTACCCAGAAATAGTTCTCTGTTTGGCAGCCACATCGGGGCTTGTTAACCAACAGCTGACACATTTACTTACCCAGAAATAGTTCTCTGTTTGGCAGCCACATCGGGGCTTGTTAACCAACAGCTGACACATTTACTTACCCAGAAATAGTTCTCTGTTTGGCAGCCACATCGGGGCTTGTTAACCAACAGCTGACACAATTACTTACCCAGAAATAGTTCTTTGTTTGGCAGCCACATCGGGGCTTGTTAACCAACAGCTGACACATTTACTTACCCAGAAATAGTTCTCTGTTTGGCAGCCACATCGGGGCTTGTTAACCAACAGCTGACACATTTACTTACCCAGAAATAGTTCTCTGTTTGGCAGCCACATCGGGGCTTGTTAACCAACAGCTGACACATTAACTTACCCAGAAATAGTTCTCTGTTTGGCAGCCACATCGGGGCTTGTTAACCAACAGCTGACACATTAACTTACCCAGAAATAGTTCTCTGTTTGGCAGCCACATCGGGGCTTGTTAACCAACAGCTGACACATTTACTTACCCAGAAATAGTTCTTTGTTTGGCAGCCACATCGGGGCTTGTTAACCAACAGCTGACACATTTACTTACCCAGAAATAGTTCTCTGTTTGGCAGCCACATCGGGGCTTGTTAACCAACAGCTGACACATTTACTTACCCAGAAATAGTTCTCTGTTTGGCAGCCACATCGGGGCTTGTTAACCAACAGCTGACACATTTACTTACCCAGAAATAGTTCTCTGTTTGGCAGCCACATCGGGGCTTGTTAACCAACAGCTGACACATTTACTTACCCAGAAATAGTTCTCTGTTTGGCAGCCACATTTACTTACCCAGAAATATTTCTCTGTTTGGCAGCCAAATCGGGGCTTGTTAACCAACAGCTGACACATTTACTTACCCAGAAATAGTTCTCTGTTTGGCAGCCACATCGGGCGTTTGTACACGATCAGTTTTCTGTTCGGGGGGATTGTTTTCTTTTGTGTCAGCCTTTGTTCCGCTGAAAACAAACTTTGTTCAAATATCATCTCCAAGCCATGCTGTTTAGAAGAGCCCTACAAATTACAATGCTGGAACATGGCGAGTTAAAACTGAGATTTCAGTGTTGTTACTTTATGAAGTAACTAAACAATGTAAAACAACGTACATGGGCAGAACAAACGGGTCAAAGATATAAAACGTAGTCATGATACGTCAGAGCTCAATAATGATTAAAAACGGTGTCAAAATACTTGAGATTGTACAACCAAACAGAACTGAAATAAATAATAACGTAATAATTTTACATGCACAGTGATTTTTCTATGTAATTTACATACATTATACATATTATCTCGTTATCAGTACAGAAGATAAGGACTTATCAAACATTCCTCAATCCTTACACAAAACATTTTATACAAAACATTTTAATCATTTCTAAGCTAATAAAAGACCTGATCAAGTTTAAAAGATGAGTATCGAGATCAGACTTGGGCATGCTATCAAGTAATTTTAAGCGAGGATACGCGGATTCCACATTATATGTTGATAAATCATCCTTTGGTATGTTGGCATTCGTGCCAGCGTTAAGTTGAGTCACGTGCTCTAAGCTAGTATGATTAAGCACAGCTTCAGTCTGAAAAACTCGCACTCCACCTTTCATAACGCCGATCTCCTGAGCGATCCAATCATTTCGTGCCTGATTTTCCTTAGCGATTGCAACATTTCTAACACGATTTTCCTGGGCGAATGCCAAGTTTCGGGCATGCTGGGCAGCCAAAGCAGCGCGCCTTGATTCAGCAAACAGGAGTTGGGAGAGATAGTCGTTAAAAGAGAGATGTGGGAAGGTAAGGAGATCAGATACTATTGTGGAACAGAGCCGGTCCCGAGTACACTTGTCCATACCTACGTTTTTAATTAAAATGTGAATATTAAATCCATTTTGACGCAGCCTCAGCGTGAATAAAAGTGATGGAAATCTAGCAGAGATAAATAAGTCGGGCATTCACATAAATGTTACGGAGAACGACCTAAGAAAGAAACAAGTAAAGTAATGCAGTGCATAGGCTGCATTTAAAAACTACAATGTTCAAGATCATGAAACTGAGGAGCAAATATTTAACTGCCATACACCAGATGTGATATGCAGTTAGCAGTTGATATTAGCGTATCAGAGAGGTACATAAACTATTTAGAATAGTACACTGCACGGCCAACAATATCCACATTTTATTGCAAACTGTTATAAAGTATATGATGACTTATCAGGGTTTTTGTAGAATAATACATTACTGTTACACAGAACACATTCTTTTCGGCAGAATTTTTAAGATACCAGAAGCTGTCAGCTGTACAATTACTACAATACATCAAATTGAGATTACAGATACACATACAATCACACACATGATACGAGCCGTTATAAGCAATATGAGTGTTAAGTAGCATTGAAACATTATACCTGCTTGCAATGTTTTAGATTTTTGAATACAGCCCACAAAATTTTACCGTACAGTATGTTCTTTTGGTCAGGGTTGGGAAAACGTCCAAAAAACATTAAAAAAACGTTCCCGAATCTTAGCAAATCTGAGCATTGTTTTAGTCTTTATGGTTAAGGAAATGACAAGCACTAAAGGCTGAGCGGGATGTGATGAGAACTCGTTGAAACAAGAACAAAACTATGAAGATTAATTTAAAAGCAGTCAGCACCAATTAACCGAGTAACCAATTAACCAATTAACGACTAACGTGAACAGGTATACTATAAATTAATTTCACAACTACAATTAAATACATTTATTGAGGACGTTACAAAAGGAATGTATTTAATGTAGTTATTGAGGAGTCCTAACTCTCCTCACGTCCTTTAATGGAGTTTTATTTCTACCATATAGTAGCGATGAGCCATCATCCATGAATAGCAGCCGGTTTACACTTTACAGTTGCACATGATACACACAGGGGCTCGTCGCCAAGACGACGACAGCAGACGAAACAGACAGAGCAAATACAAGAAGTGACTACGAACGCCGTTCGGCGGGTGTAAGAACTAAGTATAGCTCAATGTACGAGTGTAGTGATGTGAAAGTGTTCGCGGCTCCGTGACGGAGCCTCCGTCTGGCACGTGTGGTTACCTGATATAATGATATACCGCCAAATATGAAACAGCTAAACGTGTACACTATACTGTGTATTTACTATTTATAGATTATAGAAGTCTTCTAGGATGTTCGCTTGGATGTTATGACAGATAGTCACTAATCCACAGTTCAAATCTTTGACGATGAAATTGTAAATGTAGCTGTAGTCGAAATTTAGAGATGTTTAACTACCGCTGGTTGCGTGATGTTCAGAAATTTGTTGATTTCTGGCATTTCTGGCAAAAAACGTTTTTCCCAACCCTGCGTTTGGTGGAACAGTAAATCGTGTCAGTAGTGACCGTGTGCGTACATTACAAAGTGTTAGTAGAGATAAATTAGCAGAAAAGAGATCACAATATTTTAGCATAATAATTTCCATCAAGTTAGTCAAGGTCAGTTTAGCGCCATAAGTTAAAAACATTACGAATTGCGATGTTCCTTAGAAAAAAACTTCTGTTTTAACAGTGATTTATTATAAGTCAGAACTTTTCACAAAATATGGAAAAGATACAGTGCAAATTCACTATTAACCTTCAAAACTTCAATAAAACAACAATTTTATTAGCGCCAAACTTTGTTTGAAGGCACTACAATAACGATCCTATTAGTTCTAATAATCCATACCTGGTAAGAGAGGAATCCAACTCCTCGATATCCGGCTCCTCCATATAAGAGCTCTGGGAGGCAGGAGTCACATCAGGTACTGTAGACAGGGGTATTGGTTTCAGCCTCGCTACAGGGGGTTGGTGCTGCTGGCTGGGGTACTGGGGAGGAGGTAGAGAACAAAGGGGAGGAGGCGGTAACGGAGGACGAGGGAAGGATTGCAGTAGGTGGTGTTGAATAGCAGGATGGTTAGGCGGGGGAGGTATGTTGAGAGGGACAAGAACTCCCTCTCTGGTAGCCACCATGGGGACCATGTGGATGCGAGGAGCATAAAGCGGAGTCATCATCTTGAAGGCCTGTTGAGAATTTTGCAATCTTAATAACTTTAAAAAGTCATTCTGCTCTTTCTGGGACCCAGAGAGAATCTGGGTTAGTGAAAGATCTTGATGTACTATCGGAGGTTCCACAGGGGTGCAGTCTGGGTCCGCCACTTCTTCAGAAGGAGAAAACAGGATGGAGGGGAATTTAGTTACAACCGGTTAGAAGAAGTAGATGTGAACCTTATGTCACGTGACATCAGCTAAAATAAGAGCAGGAATGTCAGCAATTTATAGACAACAGAAACAAAAGATGAAAAATGTTGTATTTAAGTAGGATATAATTGATTTTTGACGATTCGAAAAAAATCGTTGTATGAAGATGTGTGACATCTTTGGGATAAAATGTCAGTAAATGGTCTGCAAATGTTATCAAAAATGCATGATAAGTTACAAAAGATTTGAAAAAAATACTGGAGGGGGATTTGGACACTGGTTAGTATAGTGGTTGGAACGTGAACCATATTTGTTTTAACACGTGATTCTGGCTTTGAATCGGTCAAATTCTAAAAGGATTTGTTAAGCGCAATCAGTATCACGGGCCTTAACAACATGGCTTACCTCCTTACCAGTATCCAGATCTACTCATCTATAGATCTACTCATCAAAAGATCTATTCATCACAATTTACGAAGTGTATATACAATAAAAATTAGACGATAATATCCAAATGTGGGTTACATTCTGTCCACTTCTACATTTCTACAACAAAAGTGCCTACAAGACACGAAACCGTGACAAAAGCTTATGCAAATCACAACAGTTACTGTTACTGTACATTACAATAAACTAGAATTTCTTATCTCAGTGCCATCAATTTTTCAGAGTTTAGTATTATCATTAATCAATCTGTCGGTTCATTTTAATCAATCTCTCAGTGCCATCAATTTTTCAGAGTTTAGTATAATCATTAATCAATCTGTCGGTTCATTTTAATCAATCTCTCAGTTCATTTTAACCAATCTGTCTTTTTTTGTTCCGTTTTTACTTTTTCGCTCTCTTGAGTGGGTCGATCATGATATATAACTGGGGACGAAATGCTCAAATGAGAGACTCCACTCACTGTAAAACAAAAAATAAAACATCAGGACAAACGTCTCATGGAAGCACTGACAAGATCTAGTCTACAGCAGACAAAGTGTAATAAGCGAACGCGAAGTGACAGCAAATGCTACCAGTGCGACAGATCTGAGATCTTAAATGACCAAGAATATCTAAATAAATAAACAAATAAATTCTCTGATAAGCGAGAGTGCAGCAGTTAACACACAAACTGCACACAAATACTACAATATTCAGATTACAGACCAATAACACTAACAGAACCAGTAAGAGATAACGAAGATAACAGCAATGAAATTAAATACAAGTTAACTCGGCTACAATCAAAATAAAATCACAAATTCAAACAGTAAACTTTTAACATAGCACGACAAAGTTGACGCGCTTTTGTTATGAGTGCAACAAAAAGGGTCCAAAAATAGCCATATAAATTATAAACGGTAGAATAATTCTAAGTCTTGATATGTTATATTGTATTAGATAAAAGTCGAATACATAATAATATACATTTAGAAGTAGTCATGGAGGCATGAAAACGATCGCGATGTACTTCAAGGTGACCCGCTTGTGACTCGACAATTACAAGGGAGTATCAGTGTATCACCAAGCAGCTGGAAATAATGTTAATACTTAAATCAGAAATCATAATACAAAATAACAAATGAGAACAGATTGCATTTTATGTCTGTTCTCATTTGTTATTTTGTATAATGATTTCTGATTTAAGTTATTAACATTAATCTGCTAGGTGATACTACCTTGTGGATGGCTGTAAAAAGACGAAACTAGTCGAGTCACAAGCGGGTCACCTCGAAGTACATCGTTTTCTACTACTACTTCTTATTGTAAGATTCACATCATTACTTTGGTGTGACTACAGATACTAAAGTACTAATCAACATCACTGCTGACGTGCATTTTTCTCACAACTTAAGCACACGCTCAAGATAATAATATACACAATGGACATTTACAAAATACAACTTGTACCGGTAAGAACAGGCCGCAAAGACAAATTATGATGTCCTAAAAACAGTAGTAGAAAACAACATAATTTCTCAGTAATCGGAGCAAATGCGCATTGCGCCATTAAAATCATCAAGGTTACGAAAAAGTTAACAATGTACATTTGTAAAAACTTTGAATTTAATTACGTACAGTTTAGATGTTCCACAACAGACGGGGCTTGCTAATTTGTAGTTTTATTTTCTGAACTAAAACTACAGAATCGAGAATTTATATTATACATTCGAAAGTTAGTTTGAAATTAGTCCTGCAGTAATTATAAACTTAAGACAATAACTACAGCTGGCTACAGTGCAAGGCTGATACAGTGAATACAATCCTACAGCCAGCTGTTCAGCGAGAAATAACGTTTTGCTGCGAAACAATATTGCCGTTTTCAAGACTACACCTGTGTTATAGTTGTGTTGCAGTGTGGGCCATTATCATGTTAATATCAGTATATCCGGGTATAGTATGGTTCTTTTTTACAGACTCATATGATATTATGTGAGTGTAAGCAATTACGGTTGATTTTGATAAATAATACAAATCAATGGAAATCATTTATGCCTCGACCCACCCCACCATCATTATTTCAAACTCGACTCATGATCAAAAATCTCTTACGCTCATTAAAAAACACACACACATCCAAATATATTGTCTCCTTCTTCTTCACCAAAAAATCAGCTTTTAAACAAAACACAGTCTCACATTTGACGAGCAGCTGATTAACGTCAACCAAATAATATCATTTCTGTACCTGTTTTTAGTGAGCCGTTTGTACTGCTTTTCAGTTTTTTCACAGCTAGGATGTTTCTTGCGTTCTGATGTTTTCGAGGGTTTGTCTACTTCGGCAGGTTTTTCCTTGCATCTAGGAAGTTAGGTTACAGTAAATAATTATCCCAAGTACTACACAATATATTATAAGCAAAGTTAAGATGTAGCACAAAGACTAGAACAGTCAGAGGGAAGTGTTTCTAGAGCCTGGCTCCAATAGCTGACCAGCTGACCAAGGTGAAAAGTACTAGAACTTACCTATCTATCTTTTGTTTGAGGGAGCTGATAGGGGTGTTCTTGTAATGGTTTATTAGCAGGCTGATGTCCTTATCTTTCATCTTCTCCTTCTCCTCCTCCTCGTCACCAACATTTCTCTGAGATATCAACACATTTACAAGTAGCCCAATTTACACAAATCATCATGAAAAATGTTGAATATTTCAACCCCTGCCCCCACATGATATTAGATCACTTGGACTCGGATAGTCGGACATAGTAATATACATTATACAAGCAAGAGGTTGGAGCCAGGTATTATAACCAAGATACGAGGTGCAATGTAGGATATGTAGCAAATCTCATAGAATATGTGATCTCATAAATGTTGGCACTGTGTTAAACATTAATTACAACAAAGAGGGGTCAATGGCCTATCAGATGTATTAGCGAATATGTATTGCAACATACTCGCTTTACGGTGTCAAATTGTTGCAGTAATGACTTGTGAGCTGTCAACACTTATTCCCTTCCTTCCCCTAGTTGCATAATAATATCTTCATTACCCACCAGATCGAGTTCCCCCTTGTTGCTGATGGTCAGACTCTGGACCCCTATATCCAGGAACTCGTTAAAAACCTCCACCTTCACCCACGAGTAAATAGAGTTCATCTCCATGACAACAGTTGTTAGGTGGGTTTTGGGATATTCCTCCAGGTATATCAGCATCGTTCTGTGGGAGGTATAGGCTTCAGTATTGGAAATCACCTTTTTTGTTTTTTGATATCGTTGATAGTCTTAACTGTTGAAAATATATACATGGCCTGTACATAATATCATGGCGGCCATTGGTTAAGAATTTCGTTAATTTTAGCATTAGAAATGATTAAGTGAAGGTCGGGAAAAAGTGCCTAGTGTGGTGTCGAAAGTCTCTGTGAAGTATATATATATGTTTCATAAGATTGTAAACTCACCCGAACATATCCACAACATCATCTCCAGTAAACTCGGGTTCTGGTGAGGGTGTAGGAGGGATAGAGGGAGGAGGGGAGGGAGCAGACTTAGGTGGAGCTGCCACTGTCTCTGATAAGGAGTCCTTCTTCTCGCGCGTCCCACTATCTTGACGCTGAGAGGAAACGCTGGGTTTAAAGTTAAACCAACCAGACTTGTAGTTTAAACTTTAAACTATAAGTCTCAGGAAATACAAACAAAAATATTATCTGATATTATCATGATGATTTTAATGATATATATATTATCATGTACGAGATTATGGACTGACCTTCTTGTTTTTCTTCCTAGTTCGTGGAGATTGGGGTGGGTGTGGTGTAGCTTTCTCTTTCCCTTTCCTGTGAGTGTTAAAAACGATTTAAGGACATTCAAATTCATTCAATCGTAGTCAATATATTATTACATCATTAAGGTTGTCGCTCACTAAACTATTAAACTACTAAATTACCCCCCCAAACTGTAAAGGTTACAGGACACAAGCAAGTGTTTACCTAAAAACAAAAAAGATGAGGGTGACGATGGTGGAGCAGGACAGGAAGAGTATCAACATTTCGGAGACATGTGCTGGGGAGGAGGGGGCGGAGATGGGGCGAAGAAGGGGGATGTGACGGCCCTGGATGGGGCACTGTAACTCCAGCACAACCAGCTATTAGAGCTTAATACTGTCCAACAATGTTATTTAATTAGGTCAAGGAGCGTCCAATCAAATTCGCTGTCAAAATACCAGTAGTGAAATCTATTCTTAGATAGTTTATTGAGTTCCACAGCAAACGGAAATTCGGTAGACGTAAAGTTTATTGACACTAAAAACGAATGGAGTACTTTAACTGAACTTGGAAGGTTTGAGTAGTTTACCAGTCTTAGCTTCACAATCAAGTTAAGAAAGTTCAACTACTCAAAAGAGGCAGAGTAAATGCCAGAACAACACACGTACAATGTACACTGCACCTAGGCTAAATAAAAGGTTACAACAGCTCTCCAACAACCAAGGTACAGTATAACTATGGGGCCCTGTATTCACAGTGTTGTACTGTGATTTGTGTAATGTGTGAACCGACGAGCAACGAGAACAACAATAAGAACAGATCCAGCTCACTTTTTCAGCAACAATCTTCCAGGCAACATTCCTAAAGACA